GTGAAGGCAACAGCTGCACCCGTCTGGTACCCAGCATGTCCCCGGGACTCAGATCACTGTGTGGCACTCAATAAAGCCCTGACAAATGAGGTAGGCAATTAACAGGTCACCCTGAGAGCATCAGTCGGGTGCCCTGGCCGCCATATCCTCACGGGGCCAATAAGGCGTAGGCGCATCAGAAGGCTTTTTGGAGAACCATGGAACACACATAGAGCCCGTGGTTCTGGGCCTGGCACGTAGTAGGTGTTCATACGAGGACACCGAATGGCCTCTAACCTGGAGCAGAAAGAGCCCAACTAGGAGTCTAGACAACCAGTCATTATATAGACAGCCAGTCATTACAGACAACCTGGGCAGGCCAAGTCCTCTATTTGCCCTTCTGTGAAATGGGATCATTAGAGTCCTGGCCCTGCCTTGGGGGCTGTTGAGGTATCAGCCAGAGGAGAGCTACCCTCCCGGCCTCCACCCCAGGGGGTCCCGGGTAACAGTAATTACAACCAACCTCCAGGGCCTCGCTCTGGGCCAGGCCTTCCTCTGGATGGGCCCACACAGACCTCACAACCGCCTGTAACGTGGGTGGTGTCATTTCCCCACTCTACAGAGGGACCAGAGAGGTTAAGGCACTTGCCCAAAGTCACACAGCTACATAGTCACGGTGCCCCGATCTGAACGGCCTTTCCCTTACCAACCAACTGCCCGGCCACTGCTGCTGCTATGATTCCCGCCACCGGCTCCCAGCCCCAGATGGGGCCTACGGGAAACCAGGGCAGCTGCTAGAATGCCAGCTCCCAGCCTGCACGGGGAGCATAGAGGAGGTACCATTTAGCCCTCAGCATCGAGGGCTGTGAAACAGCACCCCAAAGAGTCTGGTGGAGCCCAGCACAGAACGGGGCTCAGAGATATGGCTCCTCTCCTGCCTCCTCCACCTGTGGAAACCGCACTTCAAATCCCCCCTCCCACAGGGAGCCCTCCTGGATTTCACCAAGGCCTCCTTGGGTCCCTTCTCTGTCCTGCGCCCCTCCCACTCCCACAGACAGTCAGGACGAAGGTAAGGACGTCAAGGAGAAAGCAGTAAGGCCCCAGGAGGACCAGAACTAGAGTCTAGAACTGTCCGTGCTGGAAGTCACAAAAGCCAAACGCAGGAACCACTGGCGGCCCAAGCACAGAGCAGTCGCACCAACCGCTGGCCTCACTCTGGCCTCGGGAGCACGAGGATTTGGCCTCCAGCTGGCACAGGGGACCACGGGGCCCTGGCCCTGGCCCTCCACTCACCCGTGAGCCCTAAGAGAAGGCTGCCAAAGGGGTTCTTCAGTGCCCAGCCCTGGGGGTGCACACAGCTGTTCTGGGGGGAAGTGGGTGGGCGCCGGGGGGCACCTGCCAGTCCCCACCCCCTGCCTGTCCTCCGTCCCACCTACTGGGTTCTAGCCAAGCGGTGTCAGAAGGTTGGCCTCTGGAGCAAAGAACAGCAATGGTGTCTCTGTTCGCGGAGAGCTTGATGGTGGGGGCACCAGGCCCGGCCGAACCCCCCCACCCCGACACCTTCACGACCACCCTCTGCAGGAGGTGTGCTGCCACTCCCGTTTGGCAGGGAAGGGAAGTGGGGCACAGAGAGGTTAAGTGACTTGCCCAGGGTCACACAGCCCATCAAGGGTGAGGCCCAGGTTTCAGCCCAGGCAGTCTGGTTCCAAAGCCACACTATTACTTCCTACAGAACATGACATTTTTGAGAAGGGGTGTGTGTGCATGCGGGTGTGTAGGGGCAAGGGGGTGTGGGAAACACGGGGCACAGAGATGCTGTCCAGATTGGCTGGTCTGGTACCTGAAGGCCTTCCCATTGGCCCTCCTGACTCCCTCGCGGGCCTCCCGCTCCGGTCCTTCCGCCGTGCCCAGCCAGACTCCTTCTCCAAGTCTGGGCTCCAGGCAGATTCAGCCACCTCCCCTCTGCTCCTGTCCTGGGCACCGAGCTCACCACGTCCTCCAGTGCCCCAGCAGTCCTCATCTGAGACCTCAGAGGCTGCGGGGAGCTCATGGAGACCGACCGCGGACACGGTGAGGACCAGAGAGATGACAGCAGGCACCTCCTGGGGCTCAGGGATGGTAGGACAGCCACATGATCCCTCTGCCCCACAAGGAGGCCTTGGCAGGACGGGACAAGGTCCTAAACCCACCCGCAGCCTCTGGCCACCAGGTGTCACGGTGTGGCGTCCAGCAGGCAGCCCAGGGGTTTCCCAGCTCCGTGTTGGTAACAGCTCTCCCTGAAGTCCCTGCACCCTACAGTCCCCGTGTGCCCCCAAATCGTCCCTCAGCCTCCCTGCGTGTACTACTCTGACGGCTTCGGGCCCTGTTACCCCTCCATAACTGGGGAGGCCCTTCTCCTCCCTCATAACTCAGGTCACCTCACCTCCTCCAAGCAGCCTTCTGGGATCATGCCACACTTTCAAGGACATGTGGTGTCTCTCCACCGTGTATGGCACCCTCCTCACCCTGCCAGCACTTGGCACCCTGTGGCTATTGCCAGCTGGGCCTCTAGGGAACACTTGACCTGTCCGCCTGTAGAATGGGGACAGTGAATCGGTCCTCTCAGGGCTGAGTACGAATTAGAAACAATGCTTATGAGACTTTAGCCCAGGGACCAGCTAACAGAATTTGCTCAGGAATGATTTGCTGCTGCCACTACCACCATCCCCATCATCACCACTATAACGGCCATCCCCATCGTCATCACCACCATCATCAACATCAGCACCATTATCAACATGACCATCATCACCACCATCACCATCATCGCTACCATCATCAACATGACCATCATCATCACCACCATCATCACCATCGGCAGCACCACCATCACCACCATCATCAACATGACCGTCACCATCACCACCATCATCAACATCAGCAGCACCATCATCACCATCACCATCACCATCACCACCATCACCATCACCATCCCCATCATCACCACTATAACGGCCATCCCCATCATCATCA